ATAAAACATTTAAAGATAAAAGAAAATCACAAATTAAATTTCGAAAGAGACTATATAGAAATATAAAGGTCTCCACTTGGCGGAAACGGACAATAGGGGAAAATTTATCATGCGGGGACAGAAATGCCACGGAATGACACATATTGGATAGAGATCGTGACATAGGTAACGCGGAAAATGCAAGAAGCATGGGAAACAGGTACTAGAAATAAATAAATAATGAAGAGAGATAGGCAGAACAAATGAGAAGTAAAAATGCAGTTGACGGAACTAATAATAACTGAAAAATTAAACGTTAGGCGTGAGAAACTAATAGAGGAGAAATAAAACGGAAACTCAAGAATCTCAAGGTAACAGAATAAAATATAGCTGCAATTGTACATTATGGGAAAAAGTAAATGGTTAGAAAGAAAATATAGTAGAAGGGAACAAAAGAATGAAGACATAGTACAGTCATTAAACGATAAGACATTTCAAGCAAGGAAAATGGAAATCTACAATCAGGTAGAAAAATAAACTAAAAACTAAAATGAAGTTAAAACATAGACGCAGAACCACGAAAATAGAGAAGTTCGAAGCACTGATTACTGCAAAAAATAATCAAAGAAAAGAGAAACTGATGTAATGTAATTTTGGTGTGGAAGTCGGGACGGTGGGTTCTCTATCACGAGATAAAGCGGAGGAAAAAAAGGTACATTAAAGGAAGACAATAGATAAGATTAAGAACTCAGAAGTATGAATATACTTTTACACTTGACGGAGAAAATGGATAGGTCATCCTAAAAGGAAACTGAATACGAAATAAAAGGATAAGCCTACATATATTGAAAGGAAAGAAAATTCGGCGAGTATCTTATAAATTAACTTGTTCAAAAATACAATTGTAATCGTGTTTAGGATAATACAGATATATGCAGGTTTAATTGAAAACATAAAAGAAGATATGTAAGACAGAAAAGGGTATAAAGTAAAGAAAAAAATAACTAAATTATGAGAGTAATTATAAAATAGTCACCAAAAATATGTCAGGCAGGAGAAATGGACAAGAAATGTACTACAATAACAAATGTGTTTAACCCCTTACCATGTAATCAGTAGTGAGACTCCTGATGAACATCTAGATGAATTTAACAAAAGTCAATATCGTTCATTGCCCACGAATCAAAGCAAAATATTATTTTGCTATTATCATTTTACTAACTTCAAAGTAAATTTGTATTTACAGGTGAATGGAAATTTTCTTGCGTTTCTTGCAAATTGTCGATAGTAAAATGTTACACGAGTTTAGTAGTGTTAATAAGTACTATCAACAAGAAAAAGAAGAAGAAGAAATGAAAAGTAGCTGCAATAATTTGACGATAAGGAACAGCATACAAAGAAAAAATATTTGAAAGATAAGTGAAAGGGAAAGAAGAGCATAGGAAGTGTAGCAAATTGGAACAGAAACATGAGAACATTACTTCAAAGATACAATAGAAGAAGAAAATTATAATGCAAATAGAAAAGAAGATCAAAGGCTACTTAAACTGACATTATTGAGCCATTTTTACTTTACTTCCATAATTGTGATAAATTCCCTAATTAAACAAGTAAATAAAGCAAGAAAACCTCACAAGTTACAAGACAGATGATTTTCTTATTTTAATTCTTTATTTAAGTTTGGAGATTAGTAGAATGATCTATCTATCCACGAAAAGAGTTTCTATTTTTCTATCTTGGAAGATTTATTAATTAAAACTCTTTAACTTTTAACAGTATTTAAATTATTCAACTAACTCAACAAATTCCTAATAATATGCAAAACTTATTCCATGTTTATTAATCAGATTTTAAAGGCTTGCAAAACTTGGCAATCATTTTTTAATTAAAAAATTACTTCCAAGATGATAAATTGAAAAATATCATTGAATATTCAGACTAATTTCTAAAATGAATAATAATATATAAAATACAATAATATATACAATTATAATAATTTTATTTCAACAGTTATCTATAATATAAAATAACTGAATGAAGCTTATATCTCTGGAATAATTCTAACGAAAACAGAAATGAAACGAAGTAGTCGAAAAACAAAGAAATGATTAATTTTCTTTCCATTATATTTCGTTAGTAAGTAGGACAATATGCAAATTAAGAGAGATTATGTTTCTAAAGAGCAGTGATAAGACGGTAGAATGTACACAGGCATACACATATACACATACACACATAGTATTCATGACTACGCATCACACAGACTTATTTGCAACGTCCGGAGTAAACCACAGCGTCATCGTGTGTATTTAATTATTGAACGCCGATAGCCCAGCAGTTGCATCAGAAATTCTAATTGTATATTTGCGCTAGTTGTGCGACGTTCTTGTGTATTATCGTTGCTTCAGAATTATTCTCTGTCAATACTTTTGTATGTATGAAAGTTTTGCTTGTGTGCACTGTTCACGTGCATACAAATATTGTTTCTGAATGTGCAACGTTGAAGAGATTAAACAGTTAGCGAATACCAATACCGTGCAAAAGTTTGTTGAAAAGGACATAGTACTCAATTTCAAACATTTCTTTTCAAGCTACGAACAGTCGAAATCAAACAATCATCACTCGATTTCTTGAATCTCACAAATGTTAATTTACGAACTCACTTTTACAATGTTTCTCACTGTAAAACGAATTTTTCATTATTTTCAACACTTTCTGAACATTCGTATAATTTTAATACTGTAATTGATTTCGAATTTCAATTCAACTGAATTATATATAGTAGACGATATGTAAATTAGATGGTTATGATTTCGTTAGTAATAGAATAACGTCATAGCATGTATTGATTTGATTTGTACAATTAATCTTTCATTAAACTAATGAGTATTGAATTTGAAATTAATATACCTAGTAATAATTTAGTAATAATAATATAGCGTATTATTAATAAATATACTGTTGTTTACATAATTGTTATAATACGGATTAAGATGTATGCCTGAGGCAATTTGTTAGTATCGGTTATGCTAAATAAATGACCATAGAATAAATTTTGATTATTTCTTTATAGTATCATTTCCATTTGTTCATACATATTATTATCGTTATTATTAAACAAATAACATTCACCATTTTTTCATTACTCGTCACTTTAAGTGACAAAATTAAAGTTCATCTTCTAATGACACATCACGTACACTGTCGACTCTTAAATTGATCATTTAAAATTCATTAACAACTATAAGTTACAACTGCAGGTAGTACTCATACATAGCGACTAACTTGAGTACAAATATTTAAAGTAAGACACCAGAATGTCCATTATATTTTAATTATTATAATTACCGAATATAATAGGAAAGGTAAATCTTTGCGTTCATAAAATAGTATTGCAAAAGGTACGCAACGAAACACAATAATAATAACAATAATAATTTATTCCAACGTTTCATACGTTAAACGCGGTTTCATGAATTTACAACGCAGTAAAAGCACGAAACATTAAAGCGCGAGTTAAAACCAAGATTAACAGAATTTCATTTTTCTCGTAACTTTTTAAGGCCTGTAACGAATGAAATGATTTTTTCTTTAATCTAGTCACCTGCGGAATGCAAGCGACAACAGCGTGTATCATAAAAGAATAACAGACTTTCACAGAAGATCAAAACAGATTACCACAAATATTTTGCACGGTATTGCGCATCCAAGTTACCGCTTACCTTCGAAGCATTCGCTTGAAATCGCTTAGAAAAAAAGCTCGCGCTAAACAGATTAAATCGAACGCTGAGAAACCATGGTAAATTATTCCATTGTACCATCATCGGGTAAATCCTTTCGGTTCTTTTGCGAGTG